TCTTGTGTCCATATCTTTCTGTTTTGGTGGTCATGCCACACCGTGCACATGCATGCATGCATATTTTACCATGCGCGAGTCATGGTAAGATATCTGGATTAAGAGGTTGCTTTTTCTTTGCACAGCATGAAAGAAAGGCCAAATGAATTGGCTGTGATTTTAGTTTTTTTAAGCAGAGGTTGAGTTCAATAATTTGTACGGCCCTCGGAGGATGTTGTAAAAATTGAAAGGAAAAAGGTTCCCCACCCCTGCTGTAAATAATAATAAAAACCCTTGATTTATAACTTAACATCTCTGTCTCCTATTGATCTGAGTATATTATAAAGAATAGCCAGTTAATTGAAGCATTATAGCACAGGCCTTTGTCAGATGGTATATTACGCCGTTTTTTTCCTGCTTCGAATAGTTCTCTCTTTTTTCACCATACCTGTGTTTGCATCACTGTATAATAAACATACATACATACATACTGTATGTTAAATGGATATATCCGCCTTCTTTCATTTATCTTTCCATTCCCACAACAATATACATAAAGAAATGGCATATTTTGGACATAGTTCGAATGGTGATTAATCATGATTAATTAATTTTTTAGCTGTGATTAATCTGATTAAAAATTGTAATCGTTTAACAGCCCTAATATATATATGAGCACATATCAAAAGATCCACTCACCTTTCTCAGGCTCTGCACCGTTTGTGTTCTGAATTTAAAAAGACAAACATGTCTATGAAGAAGATTTGAAACGTTTTTTTTTATTTAAGCTTAAATGTTGTTATTAGGAAAATATCCCCTTTACCTTTTTATCAGTTTTCTCCTTCCTGACCTTTTCCTGCAATGAGTTCACAAAAGAGCACAGTGAAAGAGAGCAAAGCAAACACAATTACTGCAGGAGTCTAACATGGGCTGTTTACACAGTGCACCTCATTCTGCTGCTGCTCCATTTTAGTCAGCAGGAATTTAGAGTAGATGTTGCTCTTCTGAAGCAAGTGCTGCAGTCTCTTGAAGCGCATGTCATGAGGATCCGTCTTCCGCGATACCCGGGCCTTGTGAAGGAATAATCATACATTAAGTAGTTTGAATAGTTCTTCACCGTACCTTTCTATGATCATCATTTACCAACTTTGTTTGTTCTTCTACAAACAGTTTTTATCTAACACAACTAAAGTTGTTTGTTAAGGAAATAAACACACCTCTTCCATCATTTTCTTTTCCTTCTTTTCCCCCTCCTCCATCAGCTGCTTCTCCTCTTTCTCCATTTCTTTTGTGATGATCACTCCAGAAGTCATATTCTCAGATTTCACACTGACATCTTCAAAGCAAGAGCAATGATAATGAACACATGATTGATAGATAGATAGATAGATAGATAGATAGATAGATAGATAGATAGATAGATAGTGATCCAAATTTGGGAAATGTTTGTGATGCAGCAGCATAAAAAGCACAAGGCAATGTACATAAGAAAAATTAAGATACAAGAAATAAACAATCCAAAATATTTCAGAAATAGAAATAAAATAGCATTACAAATTTAAAAAGTTGTCCTTGTTTCAGAAAAACTATCATATCTTTGCAAAGTTGATCAACTTTCATTAGTTACTGCATTTGACAAACTGCATCACTTCCTCATTATGTCGACTTTCAAGCAGTTAATCTCAATTGTATAAGGAAAGGAAAGAAAGCCCCTTGGTACCACAGATGTGACTCCCTTGTGACTGACCGTTTGCGGCTCCAGTCTCCATTGCGGTGCCAAGCGGCTCTTCGGGCTCATCCGGTTTAGGGCAGTGAGGGGACCCACTTCGGCTTTCTTCCTTCGGGCTGTCAGTAAGAGGAAGAACAAATATCAAAACTCAGGCAGCTCTTAGAGGAGTGGAGACCTCGACAGTCACTGTGCACATGCAGTTCTCAAAAAAGCGCAGAAATGTTATCTCATGCCAGACTAGTAACGCTTTGGTCTTTTGCCTTAATGTCAGCGCGTGTCACAAAGACGGTAAACAACCATAAACAAGGAACTCAGATCCGGTCAATAACTTTCACAATAAAACTTCTTAGGCCAACGTTACGAGGGAGAGCTGGAATGAGAGGGCAGATTTATCTTTTACTCGCTATCTTTACTTCCGCCATTTTCTTCCGCAGTGCTGCACACTTTTGTACCTTTATTATAGGCGGGGCTTCTACATTTCGCGCCACGTAGGACGAAACTACTACTTGTCAAATAGGGTGGTATGTGATTAAAGTGCAGATATTGTAGAATTGAATAAGTTAATACCATCATCAAAATTGAATAAAGCCAGTGATACACGATTATAAATGAGGAGTGAAGTCACATTTACCTTCTACATAGAATTCCATGCACAAAAAGAAATACTAACAAGACAACAACCCCTCTGACCTGAAATATGTACCCGCCCTAATCTGATATTTCCCGCGAAAGGCAAATGCCGGTGTCGGTACCAGATGTGTTCGGGGTACCATATGTGTTCGGGGGCCGTCTCTTACCAATGACTTCACGCATTGTACGCATTGTGATTGGCTGTACGGTAATTTACCCAGGGGTGCTCGGGGGCAAATCACATCTACAGATCATGACGAACCGAATTTAACTATTCATATGCTCCTAGCGTGTGAAAATGTTTGTGAAAAACATGTTAAAAAAACATGAAAACGGAGCAATGGCTGTACGCCATTGGCTGTACGGCAACTCAAGAACATCCGAACATTTAAACATTGCCTTCACTTCATTCTTTACTTTGTCCGTTATTATATGTAGAAGATGAACTACCTCTCTGAAAGGTCCCAATGTGTTCATTTTGATGGGCTGTCTTCTGAGTGGTTAAACATCACTAATGATTTTTTGACTTCTGACTGCTTTGAATATATAATTACACCACAATAAGGTTTTACTATCACAGTGCACTGAGATGTGTGACAAACTGTAAAGCACTTAAGCACCACTGTACACTGTAAACCAAGGCGGTTTTGCCATCACTTACTGTACTGAGGCTCAGTCACTGGTACATTTTCATTTACAAAGCCATGTTGGATAAAGTACCATCTTATATCTGCTCACTGATCTCTCTGCAAATTGAAAGTACTTATTGCCTGAGATCTCATGCTGTGGTTTTATTAAATGTGCCAAGCGCTAGGACTGTCTTAGGGAAGAAAGCTTTTAGATGTGCAGCTACACTAACTTGGAACAGTCTGCAAAAAGAATGTAAAATTACCAAGCTGGTACCACTACATGTTTTTAAAGCTCGGTTGGATGCTCCACAGTCAGATGCTGTTGGTACCTGTACATGTGGATAGATATGTAAATTGTAATCCCTGTAATTTTTGCTGTATAATATCCTTTTGTTGTTCTGTTGTTTATGTTTTTATGTCTTCATGTGGAACCAACTGCTGCAGGTCT